GGGTGGGGTGGTTTGATGTCCCCATGGGGCACTGTTGGTATCTAAATGTGATGTCCACATTGGAGCCCCCACCTCCTGGGGCCAGGAGCATCCCAGTCACACAAAGGGGCTCAAACCCACAGGGCCAAGAGGGGCTCAGTCCTGGGATGGGGAGGTTGGAGCCCAAGATTCACAGATGGAGAGGGAAGCTTGGACCCACATCAAGGCTCAGCTCAGTGGATAAGTGGACCCAGACCCCTCTGAGGTGGGGGGTCAGATCTACAATAGGGGTGGGGGCAAGAAGGTTTGGACCTGAAAGTGACTCAGGCTGCAGGAAGAGCCAGAGGAGCTCAGATGCATAGGGGAAGGGGCATCCAGACGTGAAGAGGGTACAGACCTGTTGGGGATGTGTGTTCAAACTCATACAGGTGGGTTCAAACACAGAGAAGGGCTCAGAGCCATATGGGGGAGGGTGAAACACAGAGCGGGACTCAGACTTACAAAGGGGCAAGGGCATCTCAGGATCCCAGGGGAGCTCAGACCAAAGCAGAGACGGGAATCAGGGACTGCACCCAGGAAAGGAAGCGGGGTTCATCCTACAGGGCCCCGGGCTCCCGTACCCACCTTCGAGGGAGAGCAGCGAGTCGTGCAGGCGGCACTGCACCTGCCCGGTGCTCTGGGCGGCGCAACTCATCCACAGCCCCTCGTGGAGCCCCACGGCCGTGATGATGGCGTCCCCGGCGTACGAGCTCTGCCGCCACTGCGGCAGCACGGCGGCCGCCAGCCCCGCCACCCAGCCGGCCAGCGCCGCCAGGTACCCGGCCAGCTCCCGCGCCCCGCCGCCCATCGCCGCCGCCGCCGCGCCCCGCCCCCGGCGGATGGAGAGGGGCCGTGGGAGGGAAAGGCCGGAGGGGGGGCCCTGAGGGGGAAGACGGGCCGGAGGGGTGGGGAGCAGGGCGACGTGGGGGGAGGATTTAAGGAGAAGGGAGAGATATGGGTCTTGCGCGGGGAGATTTAGGTCCCGGGGGGGATTTTTTTGAGTCTCGAGTGGGAGAGTTGGGGCCAAGGGAATGGGTTACCTGGAGCTTAGGGGGAATTGTGTACCGGGAGGCGGGAATTAGAGGCCTGAAGGGAAGAGCATTAAGTCTGAGGGGGAGATTTGAATCTGAGGAGAGTGATTTGGGGTTGGAGGCAAGGGATTTGAATCTTAGCGGGAAGAATGTGGTTTTAGGCGAAAAATTTGGGGCATGGAGGGGATTTGGGTCCTACAGGAGAGATTTGGGTGTTGAGAGAGATGGAAACCCCTGAAATGACAGTGGAGAGATATGGGGAAATGGGGCTCCCCGACAGGAGGAGGGAGGGGTTTAGTGGCAAGTTACCATCCTTGACCCCCTGCTGTGGGCTGGGAGCCCCCCAGAGGCCCCAGGGGTCACTTCAGGAATTCAACAGGGAGCAGAGAAACAGTTCATTCAGTGAGGGAATTCTGGCACACCACGCCATCATGGCACCAACAAGAGAAGCCATTGTCAGTGGTGTACGCCTGTGGGGGTGTGGGGAACACGTGTCACCACCCTGGTGACACCAAGCCCATTGCAGCCCCAGGACCTGGCAATCGTTAACTGCCATGGCCTCATCAGCAGTCTGCTCACGCGCTCAGGCAGCTGGGGGTGGACGCTGGGATGGTGGGCAGCCTCCACTGGGACTGTATGTTATCCTGGAGAAAAGATCCTCCAGATTCCCCCTTGCCCACCCCAATGGTGAATGGCCCTCCAAGTGAGACAGGGGTGCTGAGCTGCACACGGGGCAGGATTTATTTGCCCACATTCCCGGGATGGTTATGGTAATGGCCAGACATCTGTGGGAACAATTCAATGCCCTGTCCGGGGGTGCCAGGGTGCTCAAAGTCCTTCTTGTTCAAGGACAGTTCCCTCCTTGCTGGAATGGTGGGTTCCTTCCCACGTTATAGGAGCGGGGCCCAGGGGATGCTCAGCTGGAGATTGTATTGCCCTTACTGCCCCTGGGGCACCTTGTCTCCCACAAACACCTTTGTGAAGCTGACAGGGCTACAGTACTTCTGGGTAGATGCTTGCCAGGAGGGAAGGTTGCACCCCAACACTGACAAAAGCCAAAGGGTGACACCAGCCTTCAGTCCCCACTCGGAAAGCAACAAGTTAGAAAAAAAAACCTTTATTCACCCATTTTCTGCAGAAGGCACTTAAATAGCTCCAAGTTCAGGAAAGGCACACATGTTGGCACCAGGGCCCCACCCCTAACACAGCATCCCTCCCTTGTCCCCATGTCACCCACCCTTGAGCCGCCATCACACACCCCAGGTCAGCTCCACAGGGGGATAGTGGATGCTGCAGGGGTAGTACACCAGATTCCCCAAAGCCCCATTCCAACTGGGTTGGGGGCAGAAGGGGTCCCATATGTTACCCTTATGACTATGCAGCCCGAAGCCACAATGCTGACATGACTAGTCCCAGCAGAGACGTCCTGGTCCCCGTAGGATGTCACAGCTCATCTTTCCTCACCACAATGGCAGCTGGTGATTCCTGCTCTGGCTCCAAATCACCCTCTTCCATGCCAAAAAGCATCTTCACCAGGTCATCTGCCTGCACACGTTCCTGTGGGCAGACCCATGGTGGTAAGCATAGCCACTGCCCCACACAAAAACCCTAGGCGCTGCCGGGAGGGAGCTTACCCGCTCACTGTGCCGAGGGTCCAGGGTGAACCAGAGGGCAATAGCGCAGCGCTGACCCTTCGTCACAGCTTTCACCCCATGGGGGTTCTCTGAGCCAGAGGAGAAGCCCACAGCACGGCCACACTGCGGCTGGACCTCTGCCTGTCAAGGGTGGGAAACCAGGAGACCCCAGTCAGGGGTGCATTGGTTCCCCTCAATGCAAGTTCGTCTTTTGCAGTGGCTCAGGGGATGTTCCCAGAGCACACAGCCAACAGGCAGGAGCTAGAGTTGGTGCTGCACATGGATCCTCAGAGCTGAGCTACTCACGGTCTCAGTCTTGGCATCCAGCTCGGTAAAGTAGAAAGCTCCTCCTTCAAAGTCCCCATTAAGGTAGAGGATTGCACTAAAGGGAGCAGGGGACAAGTGGAGGTGACAAGTAACCATCACCAGCACTCCCCAACACCATGGCAAGAGCCAGAAGCAAGAAAGCCCAGGTTTGCTGCACCTCCTACCTTGCTCCTCCCAACTAGGTGCCACCAAATCATGGTACCCTTAGGTGGGGAAGCTGCAGCTGACAGCCACCACCAGTACCTGTAATCCCGGAAAGTGTAGGCTGGGGGTTCCTTCACACATAACAGTGCCTCTGCATTGAGAATGCAGTTGTCCACATGCACCTCGTGGCTGTTGTCACTCCGGCCTTCTTGCTTCTCTAGGGTAGAACAGGGCATGTCAGGACCCCTCTGTGCAGGAACAGGGTCCACCCCAAGTATCTTGTGCTTGCCAATGACAAGAGTCATGTGTTAGCCTAAAGCACTTCCACTTGTTGGAGTGTGGATTGTGCAAGGCCATTTGGGTGGCATAAAACACTGTTGACTTGTCCCATGGCATTTCCATGGCCCTCCAGGTACAACCTCTCTTAGTACTCACCCCAAAATGCCTCAGAGTGATGAAATCCTGTATGGCATGAAGCCATCTGCCCTGTTAGAGGCAGCCAGCAGAGCTGCTGCTCATATTCCCAAACTGGGCTTAGGGACAAGCTTCCTACACCCTCCTGGGAAGAGGAGTGGGTTAGGGAGCAGCAAGGAGGTCTCCAAAGAAAGGTCCAAGACTACACCACTCCAGCTGTTAGAAGAGATCCAGACAGGAGAAGACCTGTTCCTCTGGGCCACACTCACCATCAATGGCTGTGCGGCACACTAGGTGGGAGTAGGAGAAGTGGAGTGGGACCTCCAGGCGGAAGTAGGACTCAATCATGTGCCGCACCTTCTCTGTCACGTTGTAGTACAAGTAGGCACTGTGCAGGGGCACCTTGCCCTCCTGCCCCAGCTGTGGAGGACAGACAGGACAGGGACTCAGCCCCAGATGGGCATGAGCAACCATGTCCCCCAAAACTACCCTCCCTTGTCCCTACAGCCTGTTTCTCCACACAGCCGCCCCAACCTTGAGGGCCTTGAGAACCGTCACGCCATAGAAGGTCTCGCTGGGAGTGTGAGGAGAGGTCTTCCCCCGATAGCCATCTCCAGCCGAGGCAGCCGCCTGCAAAACTTGATTGGTGTTACTGGTCTGATGTGTGAGCTGCAGGATGGGACCCCTGGGCATTCTCTACCCATCCCTGCCTGCTACACCCATTCTTGCACTCACGTTAGTGAGTCTCTGCAGTTCTCGGCACTCCTCAGCAGAAAGGACTCCATCCACCACAACACGCTGGGAGCCATTCAGGGCCTTGGAGTTCATGGTGACACTGGCTCCTTCGTACACCAAAGGGCCACCTGTGGCACAAATGGGATTGGTGGAGAGAGATGCCACCAACTCTGGTGTGGCTGGGGGAAACTGTGATCCCTCCACCTGCTCCTGCTGCCACCCATGTGTCGAGGAACTGTGAACTGGCAGCAGGGGTCACAAAGGTCTCCATCCCACCTCCCCTCCTGGCCTTCTCCACCTTCTCGGATGAACTTGCTCATGTCGGCAGACTCTTTGGTCTTCTCCTCCACCAGTGTCTCAATCTCCTTCATGAGGTTGCCGATTTCCTCAGAGATGCGTGCTGCTGTCTCCCGCTCCACCCTGGGCATGCGGCAGCCATCAGCGGCAGCACCACCACCCCACTGTCCCCACATCAGAAATGAGGGCCACTAAGACAAGGGCAGGACAGGCTGTCTCAGGTGCTGGTAACAAAGCTCACACCTAGACTGGAGAGAGTCACCTCAATGTATCCCTCACTCTGAGGTGTTTGGGGTGACCTACACTTGCCCATGGGCTGATGGGAAATAAAGTTCTGCCCTCCAGCAGCCTCTTCCAGTCCCAATATCAAAACATCCCCTGGCAGAAGCTCCATGCCATGTCCTTTGGCCCAAAGCCCACAATGGAAGAAGGGTTACTCCTGTCAGACCCCCACTGGGTGAACTTGGCTGGGGACAGCACTCACTTCTGTTTCTCTCGCAGTCTTTTTGGTATCACCTCTTCAGGTGTCCATGTGTCCTGCCGCCAGAAGAACAACATCAGGAGCTGGACAAAGATCTGGCCAGGACACAGACCCTTCATCTGCCTTCCATTTGGCCACTGCATCACCCTGGTCTCACATCACCCACCGGGTCCACAAAAGGGATGCCAAAGACGTCATAGCTGAAGAAGAGCAGTTTCTTCTCCATCAGACTCTGCTGGTAATATACCTGGATCTCCTGTGGCAAGGGGAAGAGGGATGGGATGAGGTACAGCAGGAGGATTCTGAAAAACCCCGAGTGTGGGCAGGAGGATGCAGGTTTACACCATTCCTGTGGTCCTTGCTCCAGACCTGCAGCCTGGTTTCCTGCTCCATCTGGCAGCTGGGAAGCAAGTGGCATTCCCCATCCTGTCTGAACCTCCCTGTGGACAAGCCCTGGGGAGATGACAGTTGAGCAGAGGCCCATGTGTGTCCCTTCTGCAGGAAGCTCTTTAGGAGCAATTTCCCTTCTCCTACTCCAACTGGTGTGGGGCAGAGACTCCCATCCATGCCTATCACATTCCAGGCAGGACCTGGCCATCGAGATTTGGCTATTTTGAAGCCAAATCCTCTCCTTTATAAGCAATTTCACTTCAGTTGTGGAAAAGCGCAACAGAGGTGGCCTCAGATCCTCCTAAAAAGATTGTCCACCTGCCTCTCACAGCACCCTCTATCAGGAATGGGTCCATGTGTGCCAGTCAT